TTTCAGCTGATTATAGTCATATGTTTCACATGTATTGAGATGAGAAATCTTTGCAAGATGTTCTCTAATATACTTACTTACTCACATATAGTTTATATCAGTATGCAAAAAAAACTAAATACATATTGAAAGAATGTTGAATACATATATATATATATACATGTGTCAGAAAAAAAGAGATAACAAAAAAGATGAACGTGAACAGGTCGGTCTTCATCATTCCATCGTTGTCATCATCATCATCATCATCATCATCATCTATATGATGTAATCTACTTAGACTCTGAAGTGAACTCGAAAAAGAAGATAAATGCTCTTCTTTTCTATATGCAACTGTCAACTGTCGATCATCACGGAAATGAACCTTTCTGTGCCATTACTAGTCAGAGACAAGAACAATGACAAAGCATCTATAATCAACTAAGCGTAATCAAATCTTTCTCCTCTCAGCTTATTATTGGCAAACATATAAATATATACAAATGCGCAGACACTTAATAGTACTAGTCATCAGATTTGTTCACAAGAGACGCAATAAAAACAGCTGTTACCGTTAGTCTATAGTAGTAAAACTGGTCAAAAGTCATTATTTGATATTGATGTCTCTTCCAAATGAATGAATGACTGATCACAAGAGTGGTATCTAATATATGCATATATAAATATATATGTACATATACATATAAATATATATTAATATTGCAAATAAAATCTAGCATAGCATAAAAAACTAAAAGGGAATAATCTTTATAATTACATACACATAAATGTTCTATGAAAGAAAGACAAAGAACAGGATGTTGCTGATGATGATGAGTATCGTTTAGCCTTTTGACTGTTTAGTGGCCAGACAAGCAGAAAAGAGAAAAGAACTGGAGAAATAATACGTGCTTGTGTAAAAGCGATGCGATGACGATTGATTGTACGTACCAATAGTGTAGTAATTTTGACCAATATAGGTAGAAACGGGAGATGCCGCTGTGTCATGGATTGAAAATATTCAATTAATAAAGCAAGGTTTTCTTCTGTTTTCTATAACAGATACTTTCAAGAATCACTGATCAATAATATCTTTTCTTTAACTAACTGTTACCCTTGACTTGTGCATCTGTATTTATGCATATCAAGACCTTTTATCACATCTGCCGCTTTTTCCCTCTAGTTCTCTTTTCTCTTTTTTTTCTCTCTCTCTCTCTCATTCTGTCTACTACATTATTTCTAATGTGTTTTTATTTTATCATGCTTATCTTCATTCAATTATTATTTTATAAAACATTTTCTTATTGATTGAAACCATTCCTATACATATCAATTAAACAGATTTTGTATAAGGGAAATTGAATAGGACACCTGAGAGAATTATGTTATAATCATGAAACTCTCAGTTGAGTAACTTTATCAATTATCTCAGAAGACAAATAGAATATCTATTTTCTCAATGGAATTATAAACATATGGTTAAATAAAATATACAATCATACAACGAAAAGAATCTGTGCGACAGATTTTGTCATAAAAAAAAATAGAAATGCTAATTATAGATTTAAATTAGAATACCCAAATACTTTTTTACGATATCATTTATTTATTTATTTTATACTTTATTTATTTATTTATAAAACTAAAAGTATGATTGATTGTCTTTTATCTTTGTTACTGTAAATGATTCTATATAACAAATGTTTTCAAATGATTAATTGTCAATGTTTTTCTGGAAAATATAACAGAAGTAATTATTAATATTTAATAGACAATAGCAGCTAAGAAAAAAACAATGTAAATATTTTTTAGGCTGGTTAGTTTTTCATCATATCTATAGTGCAGTTGTGCCGTACGATTACTAATAGACGAAGGAGTTCCATATTGTCTATACACTGCTGTTTGTACACATTTGATATTAATTATCTTTATCTAATCTTATAGATAATAAAGTTTTAGAACGCAATTTTCTTTCCTCGGATATTACAATATTTTTTTCCATTATTGTCATTATACTATGGAAGAATTATCATATAAGATTACATCTATAACGAAAACAAAGCATCTTATTTTTATTAACTCTTTCGACTTATGATATTCCGTAGTTAATCAGATGATTATTCTGATAATACTTCTATAGAAAACAAAAACATAGTTTCCTGAGTTATGATCATAGTCAAATATATTTGACTAAAACTATTGGTTATATTAAACACAATAGGATATTTTCATGTCATTTGTTTTGATTGAAACTTAATATTTATATATGACATATATTTGAATAAAATTAAATAGATTGATTATATATACAATATCGGAATTATATGCTACAGAAAATGTAGATTATATTACTATGTTTTTTTTATAAAAATGTCATTGTTAATAAGTGTTGAAGTCAATAGTATAGAGTTAAATCTATTCTCTCAATCTCAAAGTTCAATTTTGTTAAAAGTATTCATCATTTTCTGTCAGATTATTAAAAATCCTTTAGGACATTTCTTTCGAAAAATGACACATACCGACATGTGAAATATCACCGACAAAATATCATAAGGTGTTCTTTAAATATTAATACCAATTCAAGCCATGTCACTTGTGTCATTTTTATCAAAACGTGATATGTCCTTCCCTCCTTTTTTTTTTCTTTTTGAATGAAACAATTCACCTTCTTTCATTTTATAATAACAATAAATCTTAATCAACAAGCAAGATATATTTAAAAGAATGAACATAAACATATAGCACCACAGGTTTTCTTCTTGAACGGATTATCTGCTCTTCTTCTTTCTCCTCGGATAAAACACTCACACACAAATATACGAAAAAAGAAACTACCGAGAAGTTACAAAAAAAATTTAATATATGAGTAAAGAAAAATCATCATCACTCATTGTTTTTCGCAAGAAGAACAATAACAAACGTATTTTTGATCTAATATCAATTTGTTAACGTTCAACTTCTCACTGTACTTTTGAATTAGAAAAAACAAACAAACAAACAAACAAACACAAGCACAGACTTATACATATATATATATTGTTCTATATCTATACATATGTAATAGTAGATCGACTAGCGAACCATAACACCTTGAGCAAGTCTTGCATGATTATGTAGAATATGTTTCATACCATTATAACAACGATTACCAGCCGGTATAGAACATGATGATGTTGAAGTTGATAACGGAACTGAAACTTGTGGAAATATAACTCGAGAATAAGGTTTATTTATTGATGATTGTTGTAATATATTGGTCCTATTCTCTGATGAAGTCGATGAAGTTGGTGATGGTGAAGATGATGATGATGGTGATGTTGATGGCGATGACATGGATGAGGATGGCGATGAAGATGAACTTCCACTTCCACTATTTAGCTTATTTTGAACAGATGTATGTGTTTTATGTCGTATATGATTTGCATAAAATGGATTTTGCAATAAAACAAACATACACCGTGGTGGTACAACAATTTCAGGCCGTTTACTTGTTTCATTAAGATGACAACCTGGATGCCAAACAAGTATTTGTGCACTATTAGCCTAAAAAGAAAAGAAAACAAAATTAAAACTAATATGTCAAAACCCTGAAATTAATGATGATTATATTTGACAATTAATGTCAAAATTTACCTGTAACGAATATTATAATAAATGAAAACTTACATTTGGGGGATAAAGTACACATGTTGGTATACGAATATTTTGTTTAAGTATTTCTGGTTGAACTGGTATTGGATCGGATACAAGTGTTGCACGAGAACCTTGAGGTTTACTTGGATCAACATTGATTTCAAGATTCATTTGCCAACTGATTGTTTTAAGTACAAGTATTGAACCATTACGTGCATTCATTGCAACAAGCCATGTATAAAAACTTTGATGACGTTTAACATTTGTTAAACGTGATAAACGTTCATTACTTGTTGGAATATCCCATGTTATATGTGGATAAAAATTATCGTTCATAAGAACTTTTAATGTTGTATAATCTGTACATGGTCCTTGAATTTCTATAACTTCAGATTTCGAACCATAGAATGGATAATTACGTCCATCAGAATCGGATATCATAGGATTTTGATTAGACATTAATTGAGGAAATTCCCAACTTGAATAGCCACTATCACCATAGGAATTAAAAAAATCCATACGAGTACATGATTGTATCCAACCTATTTTCCAATGTTCACCATCATTTAATGGGGGAAATTTAACTGTAGCTGTTGCTCTTGAAATAAATAAAAAGTTTTATTATTATGTTTAATTATAAATTTTAAAAATTATTTTATAATACCGAAAATGTGGTGTACGATATTTTAGAACAGCTGAACTTTTTTCATCAATTATTGTTGGACGATTTTCAATTTTAGCTTCAAGATCTTGTATACGTATAGGTAATATAGTCTTTGAAGTATCTGGTTGTGATGGTTGATATTGAATTTGTTGTTGCTGCTGCTGTTGATCTTGTTGAGATTTTTCATTAGTTGTAGTTCTCATGACAATAGCACGTTTAGCTTTATCAAGCAATTGGCCCATTACATTCATGCCAACAGGCGTTGTTGTTGTTGTTGTTGTTGTTGTTGTTGAAACAGCCTGTTGCTCTTGTTGCTTATATTGTTGAACATTGAGAAAGGCCTATATGTAAAAGAAAAAAAAGAATGTCAATTGATATACGCAATTTAAATATATGAACATCTTGTTTTTTATCTGATTCACGATCGATAGTTAATTATTTGTAGGACATACGTACATACATATGCACATAT